GACGGAAATCCATCCCCGAAGCAGAAGCTCAAGCACGAAGCAGTCCCAGACGGCGAGGCGCGAAACGGCGAGGCACCCAGCGAGAACGCCAGGGCAACGGTCGCGAGCGCGTCTGATACGGCCATCAAGACGGAGGAGGACGCTGAGGGCAGCTATCTTTTTTGAAAATACCGGCATTTGTTACGAAGCAATACGTGAGCAGCACGTGACCAGCACGTGACTAGCACGTGACTGGCACGTGACTCGCCCCTCGGCACGGGCGGAAGGGACATGTATAATAGCTTCCATCCTAAGTTAGTCACAGAATCATCATCTTGTCAACACCATAACACGGTGACTAGTCTTGCTTCTGATGAACAAGGTTGTGTTTGTCAGAGTACGACTGTTCTTCCTTTGCCGAGCTTGAGTTCTACGACGACGACGACTTTGGTGGAGATGGCGAGGGAGACGCTGTGAGTGAGTTGGAGAGAGAGAGAGAGACGGAAAGACGGAAAGAGTCAAAGAGAGGAGGGAGGGAGTCAGAGAGAGGGAGGGAGAGCAAGTCAGAAAGAGAGAGAGGGACATAAAAATCTTCCTATAGAACACCTTCTCCTCCCTCCCCCTCTCCCTCTACTACTCTACTCCCCATCCTCCACGTCCTGATCACGGCCGGAACCGAGTTCGACCACAAACCAAGCGACATGGAACTCGGCGCAAAGCTTCGCCTTCCGGGGAAACGAAGACTTGCTCTCGGTCTTAGACCTGCAGGTCGCCCTCCTCTTCCTATCCCGCCCCTCCTTGAAGCAGCGCAGTCTCTACTAACTTGTAAGAGAGAGAGAGATAGACATGGACGCAGGATTTGCAGCCAAGTCAGTCGCAGCGGTATTTTTTGTTTGCGATTGCTCGCTTACGCCAGCCTGCTCGTTAGGCGATGTAAGAGAGGAGGAGGGGAGCAAGTAAGAAGGAGAGGGTTTTTATAAGGTCTTGCGAGGATAGGATAGGGTAGGATTCTACTTCCTCCTTTCTTGATTGGCTCTCTCGCTCTCTCTCTCTCTCTCCTCTCTCTCTCTCTCTCTCTCTGATTCTCTAATACTATAGTATCCATCCTCTTCCTATCCCGCCCCTCCTTCAAGCAGCGCAGTTTCTACTCTCTTATAAGAGAGATAGAGAGAGAGTCTTTTTTCGATACTTCTTCCGAATTGCAGACTGCTATACCTTCGTAAGATCGAGAGATAGTAGACAAACACCGGTTTCCCGGATGCGCTCGTTCTCTAGGTAGTATTTTTGCGTATAATAATGCTTAAGCTAGCTAATGTAATTAAAGGGTACAAGGTCGGTATATGTTTGACAGGTAAGATACGGCGTAGCCTGCTCGTTAGGCGATATAAGAGAGGAGGAGGGGAGCAAGTAAGAGTAAGAAGGAGAGGGTTTTTATAAGGTCTTGCGAGGATAGGATAGGGTAGGATTCTACTTCCTCCCTTTCCTCTCTCTCTCTGATACTATAGTATCTATCCTCTTCCTGTACTACCCCTTATCAAGCAGCGTAGTCTCTACTCCCCTGCAAGAGAGAAAGAGAGAGAGAGAGAGCGGCTGGGATGTCGTCAACCGATTGAAATCTCTCGGTCTTGACTTTTGGCTTAGGCCCTGGCCTTGGAATGCCAGTGATCCGAGCCTGCTCGTTGGGCGATGTAAGAGAGGAGGGCAGCAAGTAAGAAGGATATGTTTTTTATAAGGTCTTGCGAGGATAGGATAGGGTAGGATTCTACTTCCTCCTTTCCTAACTCTCGCTCTCTCTGATACTATAGTATCTATCTTCATCCTGAACTTCCCCTTATCAAGCAGCGGAGTCTCTACTCCCTTGCGCGAGAGAGAGAGAGGGGGGGGACTTAGGGCCTGGCTTTGGGATGCCAGTGACCTTCGCCTGCTTGTTGGCGATATGCGACGGTCTCGCCAAATGATCATCGGCTACCTGCTCAAGTTGGTCGGGCGTAAGGTATCGAGTGCAAGAAAGAGATATATATATGATATCTTGGTAGCACGGTAGTCTGCTCTCCCTTCCTCCCTCTCTCTTCTCTCTCTCTAATACTATAGTATCTATCCTCTTCCCATCTCGCCTCTTACCAAGCAGCACGGTCCCTCCTCTCTTGTAGGAGAGAGAGAGAGAGAGAGAGAGAGACAGACTGTGCTCCAATTGTTCGGGCGTGAGCTCGAGATCAGCGTCCGATATGGTCTCGCCTTCCCTGAGCGGACTATGGCTGCACAGACCATCCTATAATAGTAGTGTAGGTAAAGGGTACGAGGAAGATATATATATACCTAAGATCTTAGTAGGACAGGATTCTACTCCCTCTCTCCCTTCTCCCTTCTCCCTCTCTCCCTCTCTGTTTCCAATTTGTTTCTCTTCCTATCTCGCTTCTCTTCTGAGTGGCGTAGCCTAGAGGGTAGCAAAGAGAAGGCGGAGGATATAGTCAACATCCCGACGCTTGTGCTGAAGCATCCGACTCCGGCAACCATTTACGCTTGTTCCAGATCCAATGTAAATCTTGTAGCTCGAGCCTTTCTGGAGAATAACGACGTAAATACCCTATTGTAAAGCTATCAGCTATGCTATATAGCCGTAAGAGCTTGGCCTCAGGCTTCTGTCCCGGCATTCAAACGCTGCCTCTATCGCCGTTCAATACGGGTGCCTGTATGCTGTATACAACGCTCGTACTTTGGGGGTTGGCAGGCGGGCGGGTAGGGACAGAAACCAGTTTGCGCTCGGTAGAGCAGATTTGTTTGAAATTTGGAGGAGTTTGTCGGTATACTCCCCTCTCTCTCCCTCTGTCTCTGATTTCGTTTCTCTTCCTAAATCGCTTCTCTTCTAAGCAGCGTAGCCTAGACGGTAGCAAAGAGAAGGCGGCTCCGGTCTGTAGACTCGTCAGTTTCCGGAAACATTTTTTGAACTGTGCGCTTGTGTCGGCCTGATCCTTGGTGTCGGTGCAATATGTTTCGATCCTTGGCTTGGTAGCCGCATGGTCTGCAGAATAGCCCGCAGTTGTCCGCGACAACCGATTTATGCCGGGGAGTGTCAGAATGGTAGGAAGTATACATATATATATTGCTACAAACATACCTTAGTCTTCTCTCTTCCTCTACCTCTGCTCTCCCTCTCTGTTTCTAATTGATTTCTCTTCCTAAATCGCTTCTTTTCTAAGCAGCGTAGTCTAGACAGTAGCAAGGAGAATACGGAGGACGGCTTGAGCCTTTCTGGAGAATAACGACGTAAATTCCCCAGTCTTTAGGGGCTGGTAGGCGGCCGGGCAGGGACAAGAACCACTTTACACTCGGCGGAGAAGATTTCCCAGCGATTTCCAGATGATCGAATGTAGGAAAAATGGTTAGAAAGCCAACAGAAGTGGCCTTTTATACTAGTACCTAGAGAGAAATAGAGGAAACGTTACTTACTCTTCTTTCTTCCTCTCCCTCCCTCCCTCTCCGTCTCTAATTTCATTTCTCTTCTTTTATCGCTCCTCTTCTAAGTAGCGTAGCCTATAGGGTAGCAAGGAGAGGGCGGAGGACAAGGGCGGATATCTTGAAGCTCAGACTAAGCTGGTCTGGAAGATTAGGTTTTTCTACTCTCGGGCGTTGATACAGTCCTAGGCTAGAGACAGAATAACATTATCGAAGTCTTGTCTAGGATCCATAGAGAGTTTTGATTGAGCACGGCAAAATCGGTCGAAAGGTAGGTATAGAAGTTCAGGTTGAAACCAGACTAGAAGAGGCCTTTTATACTAGTAGAGACGTTACTTGCTCTTCTCTCTTCCCCTCCCTCTCTCTCTATCCCTAATTTATTCCTCTTTCTATATCGACTCTCTTCCAAGTAGCCTAGCCTAGAAGATAGCAAGGAGAAGGCGTCTCCAATAATGAGGATAACCAACTTGACGGGAGGCATTTGCCCAGCACTCGGGATTTGGCAAGATGCCAATATCCCGAAGTGCTCGAGCTTGAATTACTGTAGACAAATTTGAGTAGAGGGAAGTATATATATATAAGGTGTTACTAGAAACATAACTTAGTCTCCTCTCTTCCTCTCCCTCTCCCTCTCTGCTTCTAATTTCATTTCTCTTCCTATACCGACTCTCCTCCAAGTAGCGTAGCCTAGACGGTAGCGTCCCGAAGTGCTCGAGCTAGAAGCCGTCTCGGAAGGACTTTTCTACGTACTTGGGCAACCTGTTACATTCCAAGCCGCGGAAATATCCCTGTATTCTTCTTCGAATGCTATCGTGTATCTCTGTTGTAGATCGAATATATATGTAGATGTATTGCTACAAACGTAGTCTTGTCCCTCTCTCTCTTCTTCAATATTGTAGCATTTTTCTCTTTGGACTTCAATTCTTCTCTAGGCAGGGTAGTTGTTACTTTATTATAGGAGAGAGGATGAGAAGGGGATATGTTTGGGAGAAATTGGTAATACTAGAAGGCAGAATAGTATTATAACAGCAGCAGCAGTCATATTCGTAATCATAATTCATCCCCTCCCCCTCCCCTCCCAATCTTCACCCCCCTACTCCACCCTCCTCTCCCCCACCCCTACCCAACTCTCCCTATGCAACCTCTCCCTCAACACCTCATTCTCCTCCTCCACCACCCTCAACACCTCATTCTCCTCCTCCACCACCCTCAACCTCCCCTCCCTCTCCCTCACCAACCCCTTCAACTCCACATTCTCCCTCTCCAATTCCATCTGGCGAGGAATCGCCCTCTGACACACTTTCGCCGCAGCCTGCAATTCCACCTCCAACTCCTCCACGCGACGCGCAAGTTCCACAACGCGTGTATGCTCTTGAAAATTTTCATAGCAGAGACTAATTTCCGAAAAATGATCAAGAAATATGTTAGTTTTTGCCGGACCGAAAAGAAAAAAAACCCCCCTTTGAGAGAAAAAAGGGGCGCCTCCAAAAAAACAAGATCAAGAGAAAAAACTCACGCCTCATTCGACCCCTCCAAAATCCCCATCAAATCCCTCACAGCCGTACTCGGCACATTACGATGTTCGCGATACTTGTCCACCAAATCCTGCAGACGGTGACATTTTTCTTCGAGAGCAATTCGTTGCTTCTCTTGCGTAGCCAATGTCTCGTGAAGATGCTGGATGAGTCGTTCGTGGACGAGAGCTTCTTGTTCGAGATTTTGGATGAAGACTTCTTGGTCTTGGAAGGCTTGGGTTATGGTTTGTTGGGAGGGGGGATAGAGGGGGTAGAGGAGGGGGTCGGGTTGGGTTTGGGTGGGATTTGTGTTGGGCTGGGTAGCCTGGAGGGTTGGCTGTTGCTGGTGTTGATGTTGACTGTCTTGCTGGGCGGCCATTGTGGTAGGTAATGGTTGGGGGTGTGTGTGAGATGAGGAAAGAGAAAGAGAAGAGGTATAAGATAAAAGGTTTGAGGTATAGGTAAGAATCAACAATAGGATACCAAATTCTGCGAGTACCTATTCTGAGATTATTCACTCACTTTCTCAGAAGACGATTCCAAGGACAATCCGCGATTATGCCTGCCTAGAGGGAGTGAGTGAATGAGTTCTTTATAAGCGAGCGAGTAAGCGTACGAGTAAGTAAGTACCTATTATGAGATTATTTACTCACTTTCTGAGAAGACGACTCTGCAGACAATCCGCGATTATACCTACCTAGAGCTACCTAGTGAATCAGTTCTTGGAGGGGAAAACTCTAGAGCAACGAAGATAGACTACGATGTTATGATATTACCTAGTCTAAGATAAGACACCGACCTATTCTATACAAGCCAGTATCCTCCGAGGAGCAAGTCTCGGACAGTTTGACGCGCCGAGAGACCTTGAGAAAGAATGATGACTTCCTTTCTTTGGTGCGAAGAACTTGGAAGGCAAGCCGATGGCTGGAACCGGCGGGGCGTAAGTCAGTCGGTCACTCTCTCATGTCGTAGCCGTCGTCGTCGTCGTCGTTGGTGCTTTGAAGAATCTGGAATCTCGACAGCTTTTTAATCAAACTGTTAATGAATGGTCATTGCTTGTGTGACTGCTCTCGCATTCTCTCTCTTTACCAAGCGGCTGGCTGCGAGCCCTTATCAGACGCCTTCCCGTTCATGATCCCTCCGCCATTCGCAAAAACGCCACCAAGAACCTCCCACCACAAGCGCGGGAGATGAATCTCGTGAAGATTATGACATGCGTCTCATAATTCTAATCAGACTACGTTGAACGAACGCGAGGGCTCGATGAGTGTGAACAAAGACCCCGGAACGCCACGCTATGCTCCATGACCCCACATAGTTGTCTCCCGTTTCGTAACCACCGCACTAACACTAGGTATTGTCTGAATTTCGTGATCACAATGCTACTACCACCATGACTTGCCCTTGGGATTGTCGTCTTCTGCTTCGGAATCCGTGTCTGTATCAGTTTCGGAGCCAGATGAAGCACCCTCCTCGTCGTCTGTGCCTGATTCATAGTCGCTGTCTTCTTCGGTAGGCTTAATCTTCTTTGCTTTCCTGGGAGCATCTTGGGCAGTCGCATCACCTTTGAGTGCTGCCAGTTGACCGGCAATGGTGTCTAGAAAATCGTCAGTGAGTACTCCGTCTCGTCAAAGCACGATCACACTTACCCTCGTCCGGCTCTGAAATGTCATCGTCATCGTCCACCTCTTCAGCTCGACTCGCGTCGTCAATGTTCATGATGAGTTCTTGCTTGTGGTCAAAACCAACATAGCTGTCGCAAATCATGTGCATCTGAAACTTGTACTCGCCCGCCTGTGGTGGTGCTCCGAATTGCATCTTCAGGGTCACAACGTTGAATGTTGGCTTTCCGGCATCGTCAAACGGTTTCTTGTCAAAGGTTTGAAAGCTGAAAGGAGGCACGGCGATCTTGCCCTGTCGATTATCGGCGAGAAATACATGCCACTTGGGTGCGCGATCACGAGCCAAATATGGTGCATAGGCGAGGGGAATGTTATGTTGTTCCGGTTCCTTCTTCGCAGCCTGAATGTCACCTTCTGCAGCATCGACATCGAGTAAGTCGTCTGGGTTGACCTTGGGAATGCTGGAAGCGGGCGTTCCGGGAGGGATGAAACGAGCCTTGATGACGAGTTGCACGAGCGAAGAAGGGATGATGTACTTCTCGCCAGCAACCTTGAAGAAAGCTGTCTCGACCTTCAAGTATGGCAGCTTTCTCGAGACATCCTCCGCAACCTTGAGGCGGTCATTCGTGATTCCGGCGGCTTGTGCGAGTGCCTGACGTTGTTCGGCTGGCAGAGCCATGAAAGATTGGATGGTCATGTGCTCCTTCTTATCGTTGGCTGCAGTCTCAATATCCCGAATTGCGGATGGTGTGAAGTGTGGAAGCTGCAGTAGAGGTGCCTTACCGGCAGAACTGGGGGGGATGGCTTGGACGAGACTCTGGCTGAGGTGAAATGATGCAAGCACGGGAGCAGTGAGGCCATATGCTAGGCACATGGACACGAAAGCCTGGTTGAGTCTCTCCGCGGTTGGTGCAAGCTCGTACTTTTCCGCCTCCAGCGTGGCATCGTCAAGATCCAGGCGTGTCAAATAGGCCCATAGCAGCGCAAGGGTCTTGCGGCGCACGGGCTCTTCCACCTCCTTCAGCTTGGTCTTGTCCTTTGGCAGCATGATGGCGTCGCTGGCTTCTGTTGAGGCGAGCTTGCTCTCGACCTTGCCCAATCCGGCATCCGCCTTGGTGCCGCTCAAGATGTCGTCAAACTCCGAGGCAGTGCTCACGGCAGCGAGGACATCGCCTGCATCCATGCGATCCCTGTATTCCTTAAACATGTTGCCCGCACTGGTCACCAATATCTTCTCACGAGTCACCTTTTGCATTCCGTACCACCATCTGCCCACCAGCCACGGGAGGCCAATACCGAGCAGGAGGCCATAAAAGGCAAGCACGTACTTGCCACTTCCCTCAGCCACGAGTAACTTCGGAAGGGCTATGCCAAAACTCGTGCTCTGCTTGCCGTCGGGGTTCCCATATTGCTCCCAGTTATTGCGAATCTCCTCGTCGGTGAGGGCTTTGTAGGCTTTTGTGATCTCCACCCATTCATCGTTAATGATTTCGGTCGTCAGGTTCAGGGCGGGATTCGCGTGACGCTTGTCGGGATGCATAGTAATGGAGAGCCTTCGATAGCGAGAGTTGATGACCTTCTCCGTGGCTGACATGGGCACATCAAGGATGTCGAAGGGATTCCAGATGGTAGCCGCCTCTCGCGTGGTCGTCATGACCAAGTAGACCATGTAGGCCATGACCACCCACCCGCTGATTGCAGTGATGATACGCTTCATGCGCACCTCTTTCCGCTTCTGCTTGGCACGCTGCGCAGTGATGATGTCGGCATGGACCGGCTTGTAGTCCGACTCAATGTGGCCGGCATTTTGGAGGGTCGAAACGTCTCTCGGCGAGCGGAGGAGAGAGTATGTGAGGGGGACGGTGATGAGCGAGGTGACGGTGAGCACGAAGAAAGGGAAGAATTGGGCATCGTTGTCGTAATTGTATTCGTTGGACATGGTGGCTCGTTATTGTCGTCGCTTGACGCGGGCTCGTCGATGTCGATGTCTATAGAGGTCGAAGAGGTGCTCGTGCGCGTGCGACAATCCTTAGGACGACTGCGAACGGAGCATCTGATGTAGATCCGGTGTCGTAGACGGGGGAAGGTCGCAATGAGTGAAGGAAGGTAGAAGGGGAAGGGAAAGAGAAAGGGAAAGGTGTGAGTGAGGATGGCATTCAGGTAATTGTGACAGTGTCCAGACGTTCGCGTCCGCAAATAGCTCGGGCTCTGGCTGAACAGCTGTCCAGTCCATGCCAAGACATATCTCTTTTCCCGTGAATAAATCCTCCTCCAGTCCTCCTGCACCACATCTCTCTCTCCCCTTCTCTCTCTGTCTCTGTCTCTCCCCGGCACTGAAGACGAGTTCACAATGCACGGATCGCAATGAATACCTTCTCCCTCCAACCGCTCGCCACGCTCATCTCTCTCCGTCTCACCACTTGCTCCGCTGCACCAGACTGAAATCATCTGGCGAATGCTCTCGTGTGCATTACGCCGCAGCCTCACCTGACCTGGTGTCTAATACTCCTTGTCCTCATAGGGCTACGTCAACGCCCAGTCGCCCACGTCCATAGCCCCCTGCACCAGAGTGCGGACCCATGCCATGAACACATCGCCTAGACGCATGGCACGTGGCGTGCTGAGACTGATTCGAACAACGAGACAAACGGACGACCAGGCGCAAACGGAGAAAGCCATAGTGATGCATGCACCGACAGTCGTAGGTTACCTACCTAGTACATTACTTAACATATCCTCCTCCTGCTCCTCAGCTCCATGAACACTCTACCCTCCACTGCCAGGCACATGGCCACGGACTCCCTTGCCCACCGTCTCCATCTGACACTCTCTCATCACGTCAATCAATCTTTTCCCTGTCCGTCTGTCTGTCCTGCCCTACATATGCGTGGCGTGACTCTACTTGAAGAAAGCCCATCGTGACGGCGAGGAAGAACACGTCAATGTCGTGCATGGATCCCAGCAATCAGTTCTACATCCTACCGGACCAATGCCCAACCGCCAGAAAGGCTCGCTCGCCCTCTCCACTACACATCGAATGCCTGCAAGAACTGCAAAGAGCAACGGCAGCTCTCGTTGTCTCCGAAGCTCCGCCTCGATCATGGAAGTCGTCCCTTGCAAAGCCGCGAGCAGACGGCGAGACTCGATGCAGCAAACGTGTGCACTTCAGCGAGCGTGTAGGAGTCAGGATCATTCCCGCGCGCAAGCTTCCCGCTCTCGCCGCCCTGGACCTGTACGACATCATGGCCGCAAGTGATGAAGACTTTGCGTCTTTTCTGGGCAGAGGTCGGCAGCCAGACTCGCCTGTTCCATGGCGCAAACCCAACAAAACGAGCCGGAGACCGCGAGAACTTTCATGGAGCGCGCTGTCAGCTGCGCCTCGAGCCCGGTATCAGATGTTGTCGAGCTCGCGTTCGCCACAGGTCACACGATCCAGAACTCGGTCCACGCTCTCTGCTTTGCCATGCTATCCCAGTGACATGCGAGCTCCTCCAGTGTGCAACGCACGTCCGACACATGACAACCACCCGTTAACACCTGGTCCTACAACACTTCCAGCTGGCATGAATAGACGCCATTCTGAGCGCGCCTTGTCGTCTGTACGCAGTCGGCAAGCCTTCCTCCGATACCTCCGGCAGGTGCGACAACGCCATCATGTCCAAGTGCACGACACTCCTTTGCGAAGACGCCATGTTCGACGGTGTGGTCTGGCAACAGGGCGACCACGCAGTCGTGCAGATCGCCCAGTCCGCGTGACCAAGCAAGGTTCCGAGGCGAGGCACGCGAGCAATCACATTCTCTCTGTCTGTAGGATGGAAATTGAGTCTCCTGAACAGCGACCACGATCACCACCACCACAACATCAGAATCAGAGGTATTCGAATGTAATCATGCGTTCGAACATGTCGTCCCCCGAGAATATACAGCAGGCAGGAGTTGCATTTCCGCGCATGAAGACGTATGTTGACCATATCCGCGAGCAGAGAGGTGCACCCCGGCCAGTATATGTGCCACGTGTATCTGCGCCACGTGAGAAAGCTGAGTGTGTGGCCTCGAAAAAATAATCGTCCTCACGCCCGATGTTTCATTGCAGTTCTCTACAGCACTCAAAACCCGGTGGGTGATAGGCGATCGGCTGCTGAAGATGCGTAGGAGAAATCCTGGAGGAGGGGTGAAGCGTAGTTCCGTCCCCACACAAGTACATAGTGTGGCTGCGTGGTGCAGCTTCCGAAGGAGGGGTCTCTCCATATTCACCCTATTTTGGTATAGCTGAGGCTCCCCATATATGGATGCCTGGTATATATATAGTGGATGCGCAGGTCGTAGAGGACTGCTGGTATACCTTTATTCCCAACCTTTTCTCCCGTGCAGACTCAATCAAGCCTCCAGTGGTGAATGACTGCATTGCCGAATTGGGAAACTTTGTCTATACCTACAGCTTCATTCAGGACACTCGAGATTGCCTGGAGTTTCCTATTAGCGGTAGTCTTTACAACACGAGTAATCGAGGTGTCTAATCTGATTCCTCTGACCTCGGATCGGCCCCGAATAGGCATGCATACCTGACCTTGCTGGATATCAGAAACTCCACCTTGATGACTTTAACCAGGACCCACACCCATCATTTACAATAAACATATTGCCTGAATCCCAATAGCACAACAGCAATCAAACAGACGAAAAAGAAGAAGAAGAAGAAGAAGAAGAAGAAGACGAAGAACAATTCCACCCAACCCCCCAAAAAGCCATACAACACAATGATCCCCTCTACCACCACCACCACCACCACCACCACCACCAACCCCATCACCATGGAAATCGAATCCGAAACCCTCCACAACATGTCCCACGCCGATCTCGAATCCCTCAAAAGCCATCTCGACGCCCTACGAGAACGCATCCTCGCTCTACAGAATGCCCAATCCACATTTTTGCAACTCCCCGCCGAATTGAGGAATCATATTCTTCGATTCGCCATGTATGCGGAACTTGTCGAGCGGAGGGACGGTGGTGGTGGTCGGTGTCTGACGAGTAGTAGTACTAGTACTACGAAACAAACCAATGCAATTTTTCGCGAACCAGAATTCTTTGCGACGTGTCGTCAGATTCGACAAGAATGTTTGGGAGTGTGGTTTCAGGATGTTCTTGCTTGGGAGGAATTTGTTGTTGTTGATGATGAGGAGGAGGAGGATTCTGCTTCGGCTCCTCTACCCTCTACCCTTCCCAATACATCTGCACCTACACCTACACTTGCAATTGCATCTGTTGATGTTGATGTTAGTACCACAAGTCCACCCACTCCATCAAAATACTGGAAAACACTCTCTTTTCTCGATCTTCAAAAAACGAATATCCTTCCCTCCCCGTCTTTCCTCTCCGCGCAACAACAACAACAACAACAGCAACAAAAAGGAGAAAGAAGAAAAACTTCTTCTCCCTCTTCCTCCTCCTCTCTTCGTCTCATCACCCAAGTCATCCATTGCGATTTATCTCGCGCGAGAGCAGGAGTCGAAGGAAGTACGAGTATTGTTCCGAGGAAAGGTTTGGTGAGAGTACAGGGTTGGAGGGATGGAGGGCCGAGTTTGAGGTGGTGGGTTTGGTATTAGATTTTGAAATTTGGATTTGGATTTGGTTGGGATGGATGGATGGAAGATAGGAAGGAAGGTACGCGATTACGTTGGAATGGAATACGACTTCAGCTGTGGAGTCATTTTTGGATGGTTCGTGTCATGCATGCATGCAGGTGCTCTAGACGTTTTTCGGAATTACCATGTATACATTGAAGGAAGAGGTTATATTCATCCACCTTAACCCACCGACTAGATCACGTTAAAACGCAGTATCTATCAAACAGCTTCTGGTGATTCATTATTATATCATCTCCATACCATTGGATACCCATGAAAAGGCCGTGAATCACCTACAAAGAAAAAAAGAAAAAGAAAAGAGAGTAATAAAGGCCGACGGAAAAAAAAGGCTGGACAGCTTGCTTGCTCGCTCTCACTCACTCACTCACTCACTCATCACATACCCCAAGGGTTCCTAATAAAACCATAAGGACTACCCATCAAGAGTCCCGCCGCATTGCCACCTCCCATTCCATCCAAAGCTCCCATACCGCAAAATCTGCTCATTCCACCCAATGCTCCAAATCCATCCATGCCGCCATATCCTGCTGTCATGGGACCGATCATTCTGCTACCATATCCACCACCTCCGAAACCACCACCCAGAGCAGCCATGGCTTGTTGAATCCAAAAAGCGTCATTTCGTCGTCGAGATCCAAAACGTCGACCACGTCTACCTCTTCCGCCGGTCAGCATCATGGACATGGCGAGGGATTGCATGATATTCTGCAATTGCTGCTGCGAGCCGGTGAAGTAGCCGTTTTGAAATGCGTTTTGGAGGTCATTGTTGATCCACCAGATTTCTTCGTCGTAGGCTCCACTGCCGCCGTAGGGGGGAGGATACATGCTGCTCAATCCATTCATGTCCCAGGCGTTGATCATTGCCATTGTGTCGGGTTATGGGGTTGTGCTTTTTCTTTTTTGTTTTTCTTTTCGACTGCTGTAGTTGTATGACGACGGATGGTTTTCTTCTTGTGTTGATGAAGAGTTGTATATTAGATCAATTCTTTCGCGAATTGCACTTGTGTGCTGTGAGCCAAGTTGTGAGAAAAGTGCGAGAGAGAGAAAAGAGGCATAGAAGCGTCCGAGAAGTCTACTTTATGGATCGCGATTGCGGGCGAACGCCTTGCCGACGGGATGCCTTGGTGGCACGAACGACGGGGTAACAGAAGGGAAAGGCACCACCACTCTGTGCAACTGGACATGCATGGGACGAGACGGGACTTTTCCGACAGTTGTGCACTACCTGATATTTCAAGGAATCCGAGCAGTGAATGGAGGCATTCTGACCAATCACGACCACCGGAAAGCGCATGGAACGGTCGTGTGCCTGCGGAAGTGCTCGTGGGAAAGTGCTAGAACATGATCGGGATGTTCCACAGGCTGTAGGGCTGCGAAAGGCTGACATTTCATTGCTGACTGACACCGTAGCGCAGGCATCCTCTGAGCCCGTCTGGGGAATCCGGCAGAAGCGAACGATGGCCATCGAAAGACTTGGCACGGTAGCTGACTTGTTCCTGCAGTGCGCGTGTACACTGATCAAATGCATCCGGCTCCCCTTAATGCCTCATGGATGATGAACAGGCATGCGCAGCTGAAACTCGGCATACAATCATCAGTCTCGGGGCCTCGTCCGGCAGCTGATCGATGATCTGTGCCACCGAGAGGCCTTCTGACCGGCATGTTGTAGTGCTTGATATTGTTTGCTGTTTCGCGGCATGCTGTGTTGAGCCGGCGTCGTCGGCCAACCAGATGGCGAACGCCCTGATGCAGTGGCGGTGTAGCCTCTTCTATTGGGCTTTCCTGTGCTGTCGACATGCTATCAATCGTGTACTCCTCCGGCTCTGATCCGCTGTGGTAGCATACATGTAGTTTCATCGATGCCGTCGGCACGGCGGATCATGCGCAAGTTGCCTGGTTGGTGTCACGCCATGGCAGGCCCTTTGTGCGCCGCGTTGGCAACGTGGCTGGGAGAGAAAAGCCAAGACATGAGCCGTTGTGGCTGTCTTGATCAGCTTGTGCAACAAGTAGGCACTGGGCGTCTTGGTCGCTGATGTAGTTCGCGCATGAGTTGGCCTGTACAGACGGTCTGACCACCTCACGTTCACATCTGTGCGGCTGACATCACAAGTCCTCGTCGTCCCTCAGTCCAATCTGCCGACGCTCGCCCAATTCTGTAATCTTCTCATTCAGGATGTCCCGCTTGAATCTTTGCGCCACCTTGCTGGCAGCTTCAAGCATCTGACCCGTTCGATCCTTCATCAGTGATGCAATCTCAAGCGCCTTCATACCACGTTCTTCACCTTCGCGGCACTCTACTGCCAGAAGCTGTAGTAAAGCCTTGTCCACCTCGCGTTCTTGCAGTCCAAGCTCGGTCTTCTGCTTCGATGAGGCGTTTGTGTTCTCTACGAGATCGCGTAATAGAGAGAGGTGAAGGGAATGCCGTACATAACTCTCTTCCAAGCTTCGGTAATGTATGGCCTCCTTGTCATCTTCTTCATCGCTGCTGATATGATATGAGACAGGTATTCTGAAGCCAAAGTCCGATAGCAATGGCCGTGGAAAGTATGGGTATTGCTCCCCACCTTTCAGAATGATGCAGTGGAACCGTTCACCAGCCACTGCGACCGGCCAGTAGCTCTCTTCTTTCTTGCCATCGGCCAAGCGATCCATCGCCCGGGTGTCGAGCAGAGGTACCCATTTCGCTTGTCCAGAAACTCTCCAATGTTGGAGAATGAGCAACACGCCGTCACTGTCAAAGATGCAAGGATCGCCCTTTTCACTAAAGAACACGCTTCTCAGCTGTGTGCCCTCAGTCAACGCAAGAATATCTTCGCTTTGGTAGGTTTCATCACGCTTGACGTTTTCAATGGTGTAGAGGAGTCGCGTCGTGCCATCACCTCCCACAGGTCCATTACCCACAGTCATTACATAGTCTCTCCAGCTTGCGCAAGTCACTGCGGGTGTCGACTTCTGACGATACATCTTCAGCGGTACACCAAACAGACTGTACACCCGAAGATAGCCAGCGGTAGTCGTGGCCACGACACAGGTGTCGCTCAGAGACAATGAAGTCACTTCTTCGCCGGGTGGAAGCTGCGTTCGCCAGTCCATACGCGCGGTCCAGGTCTCATGTGGACGGTAGTATATGACAGCCGTATGATCTCGAGCTGGTGGACATGAAAACAGAGTGCCCTTCTCATTCAGACAGGCTTTGTCATAGCGATATGGATCAGTGAAATGGAAGTCGCGGTGTTCCTCCCGATCATAGAATTCGACAGTCACGGTGTGGTGAGTTTCTTGGTCGACCGTCCACACAAAGCCAGTCAAGTTGAGACACAAATATCTCCGATTGCCCTTCCAAGGAGTGCTACCAGGTTGAAACGAATCGTGAATCCGCGGTTGCCATATGTTTTGTGCTGCTTGCCGCTTCGCCTGTGGCTGTCGGATTTGATCTGCCGCACGCTTACCGAAGCGATTGGGTTCTTCGGCATATCCTGCCCCATCGTCGTCCTCGATGAAGTTGTCATCGCCGTCCACGGACATGGCATCCGGATCCAGGAGTGCATCCAGCTCGTCTGCGTCGTCAGGCCTTCGGTGACCATTGGGTTTCCTGCCATCGGCCAGAGGTCTTCGTACATTTCCCGACACCTCTGCAAGAGCATCACTGTTCAAAGGGGATGGCTGCATGCCAATCTTGAGGAGATATCGATGGGACTCCGGCACAAAGTCCTCTCGAATGAAGAGTTCGCCGTTGTTGTTAGTGTACGACAGGAAATTGTCCTTGGGATGGAATTGTATATCTAAAATGACGTCTCGAACATCCATGTAAGTCTTGAGCACTCGCTGCGTCCTGGTGTCCCAGAGTACCAGACATTTGTCCAGATCTGCTGTAACAAGAAGCGCGCCGTTAGGAGACCAAGCCACTGCTGTGATCTCAGCCTTGTGACCACCGCTGAACACCTTTTGGCGTGACCAGTCGCTGCGGGACACTACTTGAAGGTCTTGCGCAGACAGTCAGCTTGGGCCAGAAAGTTCAACGAGTAGACTTACCTCTAGTCTGCGTGGGCACTGCCCAAGCTCTTCCGTCCGGGTGCCATGCAACTCGTATGCTGGTTTCCGAGTCCGCCTGGATCATCCCAATCATGCCATCAATACGCTTGATGAGTTGCGGCTGTTCGGAGCTCAGCGAGTACATGTAGATCATGCCATCCGTACAAGACGCCGCGAGCGTTGTGCCGCTGATATCGAAAGAGACTTGCTTGACAGATCTCAAATGATCTCGGAGCACCATCACGTTCGTCATGTCACTGGTGTTCACAATCTTGACTTCGTGCTCACTAGGCTGTTGTCAGCATACTCTCGTTGCTGCGATTAAGAATACACGCATCACTTACTCGCTGGCCACGGCCACCCATTGCCCATCGGGCGAAATTGCAAGATCTCTCACGGGTGCTGTACAGCGCAACAGAATCTCGTCCATTCTCTTCGTGATGAGACTGTACTTGGTGACCTCGCCTGTCTCGCTTCCGATGATGAAGAAGTCATTGGCAGCCACTGCAGCCAAATGATTCTCTGTGGTGACATCGATGATAGCAGGCTCGTCATCAGAACCATGATCGAAGATCCGGACAGCGCCATTCAGCCCTGCGGTCACCAGCTGCCTTCCATTTGGAGTGTAGCTGAAGAATGTTGGCCCGGGAGCGTCTGCGGTCAATGGTCAGTCAATACTTGGCCACTTGTGGAGGAGGAGGAGGATCATGATGATGATTGGACTCACGAGCTGGTCTTCCACGCAATGTCGCCATCATGTCCGGCTGCTGAGCCTGGTCTTCAGCAAATATCAGGAAAGACTCCAAAGAGGTGAGGTGGATGGCGAGATGCAAGGGAACGCGAGACGCGTGTGAGAGGGAGAAAGGCGCGTCGAAAGTGCGGCAGGAGCCGTCGCGCGCGCTTTGCTGCTTGCGACAACAAACACGCTGGACAACGACAACGACAACGACCAGCTCACATCGCTTTGCATCACTTCCTGTTCGCTTCTTCGACCTTTTCTCGTGACCACTGTAACGTCTCTCAGACCCAGCACTCGATCAGATCTGACGAGCAGAGCAGCACACCTCTCAACCTCTCCCAAACACCGCACCAAACATGAGTGCTGAACAGCCATCCAACACTGAGGGCAAGGCCGACGTCCAGATGGACACTGGTTCCTCCGCAAAGGGCAAAGGCAAGGCTGCCGAACCCAACGATGCCATGTCCGAAGATGATTCGGAGAATAGCGAGGAAGAGGTACTTGTGCACCCAAGAAAATTCTCGTATACTTGCATCGCTGACTTCACGACAGGCTGAGGGTAAGCGTACACTGCATGCGGCATGCGATCCGCCAATAACTGACCAGTCTACGCAACAGGCGAGCCAGAAGAGGCCGACGAGGACAACATGGAGGAAATCGATCCAGACAACATTGTTCAGAGCCGCACTCGCGGCAAGAACATCGACTACGCCGAGGCCGCCAAGCAGATGCCGGAGGGCGACGATGACGAGGAGGACGATGAGGACTTCCAAGACGACGATGCAATGGAGGATTGAGGGACGATGCCGCCACGTCTTGCGTTCTAGTCATATTTGCAGGATACCACCACGCGCCTCTTCATAGAGAGAGACATGGCCATTCTCCTACTTGAATGGGCTGGCACCCTGCTGGGCTGGATACTGATATTTCTCTGGCACGCCGCGTGCCTCTTGAATCTCAGTTGACTATTGTGGCAGACTACACAGCTTGTGACGACTTCAGGCTGTGCAGCTACCTGAGCATCGCGAGGGGGTTCAGCGAGCATCCGCATCGCTAAAAGTACAAAATTGCACAGCACCTTCAACCAAAAGCAGTATCCCAAGGCTCCATCAGTGCCATTCTCCTGCTCCTTTTTCATTTATCCAGCGCCCGTGTATCCATCACTGTGGTGTCCATTTACTCCTGCTGCCCTGCATATGGGCTGCGAATTCCGTCAGATCCCGGGGGGCTGGACGACCCTCTCACAATGTTTAAAACAGCCCGCAAGCTCTCCCATGTGAGATGCGCACTAGACTCCGGCGTCCTGCAACCTGCACCTGCACCTGCACCTGCATACTACTACCTCCGTATTAGTCTATTACGAAGTAGAATCTCACAGTCTGACAGGCCGATATCGGCTCGCTCTCGCCTGGCAAAAATTTGCTTTCGCAGCCGCCCGTGTGTCTGTGTCAATGGTGGGGAGAGATATGTTGCCTAAAACATTCCGTATCCTCCCGATCACTGGTCTTCTGGCTCGGACGAGCAACCCTCGCCGAGCATTTGGCCGCGGCTGGTTGGAAGACGAGAGGGAATGCATATCCACGGAAATGAGGCGCGAATCATTCATGACGGGATTGTCCATGCGGTGAGGTTCCGAAGACATCGTTTATGCCTTGGCACCGTGTGTCAAGGGAAGTAAGTGTGCTCAGTATCCTGACGCGTACCTTAGACAATGAAGCTGCATGATGATCTCTTTGCTATTAGTATTTGAGATCGAGCCCGTTGCAGCATGTCCGACCTCTTCAATACCTCCTAATAGAATGGGTCATTGGGCGATAAGCAGAGCAGACATACAACAGACACAACAGAGTGACAGCTTCCAATTACTCCGCACGAGCACATACCAGCCAATGATCAGCCGGCAGAATAAGCTACAGAGAAGCGCGCCGCACGATGCAAGGCTATCTCACGGCACTTCAGGTAGGCTGAAGTCATTATACGCGTGGTGAGATTCAGTTAGCAAATAAGAACTCAGCATTTCTCAGCGAAAAAGTGGTGTGTGTGTGGTGGGCGGCGGCGGCCTGCAAGCATCCCTCCCTCATGCATGCACAAGGGCGGCGGAGCGAGAAAGGAAAGTTGCATATGCCACGATTTTTGGTGCGAGCAAGCTGTGAGGCTAATTCATTAGCGCGCCGTTGGCCAGACTGGGGAAATCAAGCCCCCCCAGGGTCATCATTTTCACAAGCGTCGTGTATGGTCGACCGAGTCTACGGACGGATGATCATTGTGTGGAAATGGTCAGTAGACCCACGGCGCTCCTCGACATGGAGAGTGAAGATGTGCACTGCGGCAACAACATACAAAGCACATTCTCACGCCCGACAACACAGGTGTGTCAATGTGCAAGTCCACACATGTATGGGGGGGGGGGGGGGGGGGCG